TATATATATTATATATACGTATATATATAATTATATATATATATTATATATACGTATATATATAATTATATATATATATTATATATACGTATATATATAATTATATATATATATTATATATACGTATATATATAATTATATATATATATTATATATACGTATATATATAATTATATATATATTATATATATATTATATAATTATATCGATATAACAATAGAAATTATATTTATATCGAACAATACGAATATTATGTCATTGTATACATTATAGACCCTGTTATACACGTGAGATCACATTGCACCACAAATAACATTTGTACGTATTAATAACACATGTACAAGTGAATACTATTTATAAGATTATTTCAATCGGAGAAAAACTAAGCAAAAACTCCAGGAAATGAATGCTTTCTCATCTAAAATTGGCGACAATAAGAAAAGATAACAAAAAAAGATAACAAGAAAAAGATATAATTTTGTTTGGTTATTACTCTATGGTATACCAAGTTACTTATCGCCAAATCTGTCAAGTATTAATTAATTAGCCAATTACAAAAATAACTTTCATTATCTGTTATGTATATAATACGTAAATATACATTCTTTTAATGCCAATTTATAAATTGGAACCACTCAAATTCTTGTATATTTAAAACTTTTGTTTCATGTAAATTGGTCAAATATTTCACAAACTTTAATTAGAAGTGATTCTTATTACGAACGTACGTACGTACAAAATCGGGTTCAGGTTTAATATGCAAGAGTTAATTAAACGAAATTTCTTTTGAATAAAAGCTTTGAGTTTTACATAAGCAATTAATTCATTTAATGTGAATAAGTGATGATGAAAATGAGTAATGATATTAATTTTAACCATTCATAATTTTTGTAGAGTTTTATTTTTGTACGCATGTATGTGCAGTACGTATCAGGGATGTACGTACGTTACATTTTAAACATTTTAAGCATTTTAGAATTAATTAATGAAACTTAAGCAGGGATGAACATGAACAGACAATCAATAAGATCTGCAGATGGTCAAAACTCCGTTCCAAGTGGTGTGTATTCAGGGAATTCAGTGAAGTAAGCGCATAGATAGTAGTTATGGCGCTTCTAATCACACCAGTAGTATTTTGGGTTTCGTAAATTAAACATGGTTAGTCAACGAGATAAGTGTCTTATCTGAAACTGCTCATATTATTTGCACACGCTTTACAATTAGAGTTTAATTGGCTTACGCATTTAGAGAACAAGCCAGAGAATTGCTTGCATTTAAGTCCTATTATGAAACTAGATTATTGTCATTCATTCAAAGAAGTTGCACTTATGAATATTGCATTAAGGATGTTAGCTGCATGTTATTGCCATTTTTACTTGGATGAAAAATAACGTCAATAAATGATATTGCGTTATCGCATTGGTGTTCGTTCTAGAAGTCGTTTAGTAACTTTTTTTTTTTCATCCAAAAAATAATATACAGTTACTGGATTCAGTACTAGAGAGGCGGGCTATTTAATAAAAAAAAATAAATAAAGAACTATTTGTTTTCTCCACAGAAAACGAGCTCATATTTATCCTTTAATAAAAGTTTATGACATGTTATCACTTCGGAACAAAGTTCTGATGATATTTTTCTTAGAGTGGCTAACAAACTTCTTAAACAAGTAAATAAATAAACAAATGTTATTCTTAATTATAACGCACCTCCAATATGCTAAACATGATTTAGAATACCTCAATAAGAAACTGAACAAACATCACAACCTTGATGTCAACGAATGCTAGTGCAAAATGTTTATATTCTAGAAAAAGAGAACAAAGCTAGAAAGTAACAAATTATTTAATGTTGCATACGAAGTGGTGCCTTACAACATTGTTTTTGTTATGCTATTTGTTTTTTTTTTCTACTATTATGCTTGTTTCGATGATCAGGATTTAACAAGATGCATTCCCGATGTTTGTTATTTCATTTTGTGCATGTTTATCTCATAACATCGATTTTCGAAGAGATCTGTATTGGTTTTTTATTGGATGTGCAAAACTTTAAGTCCACGATATCGGAAAATCTTTGCTATGGAAGAACACCTACCTATCTACATAGCATATATAGCATTATTGTATACATATGCACACATGTACTTACGTAGCTAAAAAGTTTTACTAAACATAAATGTTCATAGAACGGACGGATTAGAAATATGCTATAAGCTTAAGTATTAAGTAAATACGGTATTTTTTAAAGTCATATATTTAATAAATAAAGAACTTTACGAAGTTTATTAAATTTTAATAAAATATATTTCGATAAATCTTACATAAATCTTAATGTTAATAGTTAATATACTTTGCTATATAATTCGAATGATATAAAATCATAATACAACAAAGAAATTTAATTACGAATACGAAAACGAAAACGAAGCGGAAACAAAAAATAAATAAGGAATAGTAACGGGAATAAATAAAATAAATACCGAAATAGGTAGCGAAATAAATAAAAGATAAATGAATGATTAATTCGGAAATAGACAACAAAGATAATGCGCAATATGATGTGATTTTAGGAATTATTTTGTGATAAAAAAAAAAGATCTTTTTTCAATTTTGCATAATCAATTAATATTCGAAAGAAATTGTTCACGCTCTTTGCTTTAGTTGGTCTTCGGGAATGCAATGCCATTTAAGAGTTCAGTAGCAATACTTAATTGCTCTTGATGTTGAGTTGCAGTCGTTTCTGGTTCAAATAAATTTGGCATGCCATTTGAGAGGTCTGCGTGCAACTGGACGGCTGCTAAGTTTATGTTTGGTAGGTTTGGTAAGTTGGGTGTCATATTCATATTTCTTTGATGACGATTTCTTCTATTGCGTCCCGAATTTCTTCTTACCGGTATCATATTGGAAGAGGATGAACAACATTAAAATAAAATTATTGACTCCTTTTATACGTATTTGTTTTATAATTTATGGTATAAAAACACAAAGTATATTTATACATATAAAATACAACACCAATCAATTCTTTTATATTGTAAAAAAAAGTGGATTTTGATCCTCAAAGGGTCCGTCCAAAGATTCATTTTTCCGTGGTTGGTTAATTAGTGATAACAAATAAAATTCATTGACGCCGAAACAATTCTTTTAATTAACAAACAAATGTTTATTGGTTCTTTTATCTAATTCTTTTACATTTTTAACTTAGTTTGTGCATCCCAATCCTTATCAATTACGTACTCACATTTAAATGTTGCGTTCTTGACAGGGCGTTTGAAATTGCACCATTACGGTTATGTAATTTTTTTTTTGGTTACATATATATAATTAATTTACATTGTTCACAGTCGCTATTCAGAATTACGAATTTTAGCTATTTTTATTTACGTATAGTCCGTACGTATCAGCTTTAATTCATCCCTGAATCCGATCTTCAATGTTTAATTTACTTGCAGGTTACAGAATTAATAAAATGCTTCCTTGAATTATATGAATTATAATAAATTATATATAACAATTACGAACTTATAAGGCTTTGGTTTTCCTTTTTTGTTTTAAATATCGTTGAATAGAATTGGGAAATTTCTTGTCACACTAATAACAATGCACCATTTAATTGGTGTTATTATACCATAGTTGACGTTAAATTACAACACTTTTAAAAACAGAAAGTGGTAAGTTTTAATAATCTGGTAACTACAGTACGTATACGTATATTGTATTTAATAATAATTTTTAAAATATTTTTGTGAAATTAATTATATTTAAAATTTTATTATTTACACGAAATTTTTAATTCATTTTCGTTCATATATCATTATTAATATGGCCTGACTTTTCTTAAACAAATATCCAAAATTAGCTTTAAAAATTTATATGATGAACAAATCAATTTAATTTACCAAAATGACTGTTGAATTAGGAAAATTTCCAAAATTATATTTAATAATAATATATAATACGTAGTATTATGTTTTCTAATTATATAAATATTTTTTATCTACTTTTGTTATTGTTTATTATACTTTTAGAACAAATATATTATTGGTTACGTAAAACTTTGCCCGGTATTACGAAAATTTTCATTACGTTTATTTATTATTAATATTCACAATTTAAGTTGACCTAAGTCTTAAATTTTGAAACAATGTTCATCGGTGAAAAAATTTCAAAAACATAAATTCATACGACCAGTGATAAAATTATACGACAGATAATAAATATTATTTATATTGTAAACATTCTTTGCATAAATAAAAAAAGTTATAAAATTTACATAAAGATAAAAAAAAATTTTACATATAAAATTAAAAAATCACATAATCAATAAAAAAAAAACCACGATAGAAGCATATAAAAAATTTGCATGACTAAAAAATTACATAAATTTAAAAATAATTCTTATACTGTATATCGGTTTTTTACATTCACTATGTAGAACACACATGTACTGTACATAGCAAGTTACTTCTTTGGCAGGTAGAAGAGCAGTTGGTTTTTCAGCAGCTTATACATAAAATTGTCGATTGTTGGACAATGACAATAACATTGTAATGTCGTATAATATAAATCATATCACATGTCATATATTTGTATACTGTGAGAGAAAACATAAACATTTTTGTGCAACTGATTGATATATAACTCCGAATAACATATTTTACAATCTAAAATAATTGGTTATATGTTATTCGGAGTTAAATCAATCAGTTGCACAAAAATGTTTATGTTTTCTCATATAAGACAAATAATGTAAGTCATACTGTAGAAGTCATATGACAACACGTTTCATAATGGACAGGCCAAATTCGTGCTAGGTGATTGGTATAAAAAAACATTCTGACCCATTAATATTTTATTTATTTATTTTTATTTGTTTTAGTATTCGATCAAAGATTTCGCGCACCGAAAAAGTTGTATCGTTTCATTTTTAAAAATTAAGAAAAAATGTGAAAGATATATTTAAAATTAAACATTTGAAAGCTTTATTTATTATTTTTTTTTACATCAAAATTAATATGACATATGATATGCTTAATACCTTCGTAGTATAATAAAATTTAATAATTATGAGTTCTAATTTTTTACGTATTAACCCCTTCCACTTGCCGCCGGGATGTGACCAATTATTTGACGTGACAAATAAGCGCCAACTAACTTATTATATATTGTTGGTGCTTATTTTTCAGCCGAATGATTGGTCACACCCCAGCGGCAAATAGAAGAGGTCATCTACAATAGACTTGTAATGTTGCATACCTAAATTATTTCTAAATCGGTGAAAATTTAACGTACGTAGGTCCATTCAAATCGACCTAAATGGTGAAACGTCATTGTTCTATAGAGATCATCGCCGCATTATATTATCCAATTATTTTTGCATTAGTAAATTCTCATTACTTTTTTCTTGTAATTAATGTACCTCTCTTACCTCATTACTTATAATTGAATAATATTAGTTAGATTAAGTCTATATACAATGATATACTAAGCTAATTTTAATACTAACCTGCCTTCCTAGTTAACATAATTACTCTTTTGTTATGATTCAAAAATAGCTTAAATATCAATATTTGATATATTGAATAAAAGTAAAAATTTATCTTTAGTTTAAACTCTTAACTCTAATATTAGGTTTATTTTAATATTAATTTTAATTTAATTTGAATAAAAATTCATAATAAATTATAAATAAGAATTAGTTTAGAATTAACCGGAGGTGAAGTTCACCGGCCTAAGAATTGTTAGGGTTAGGTTAGGGTTAAGGTATTAAGATTTTTTTTTTTTATATAAAATAACATAGAGCTAATAAAAGGTCCCAATCTCAGTTTTTGTGAGGTTTTCAGGGGTTCTGAACATTTTTACTTAGAGTACCCGATCCCGTTTACTTAGTGCGTTTTTGAGATACAGCACCCCGGTGAATTTCACCTCCGGTGAGCATTAAAATCGTCTTATAAATAATTAAAATTAATTAAATTTTTTTTTTATTATAAAATTTGTTATTTTTTAAATTTTTATATATAAACTATTTTTTAAACTTATTTATAATAATAATCTCTAAATAAAAAAAAAAACAATTAAAATTTAGTTAAATAAGTATTAAGAAGTTTTTAATTAAAGTTTTTATAATAATTTTTTAAGAAAATTTTTATTTACATAAGGCAAAAGAGGGTAATTTGGCAAATAGAGGTAATTTGGCGAATAGGGATAATTTGGTGAATTGTAAAGGATTGTAAATATATTGTGAACCCATAATTGGATCTGAACAATTTCTATACCATTTGAATCCTCTTATTGAGAGGATTTGAATAGTAAAAAAATTGTTCAGATCTAATCATGGAGTTATGATATATTTTTATTTATTCCCAATTCACCATATTACCCTACTTAT